TTAGTTTAGATTATTGTCTTTTTTTTATTATTTTTCTTTACCAAAACTTATTTACTTTTGCTTCATGACTCTATTTTATAATCAACTTTATATTTTATCTTTCATATCATATCTAATAATCTCAAGTTTATATTTCATGTTTATATCACTAATTTGCATTTATCATTTTATATTTTTTCTCACTTTATAAATTAGATGTTATTTACATTGTTTCACCTTCCGCTACCATGTCAATGCTATCGAGTATATTATTGCTCATTATTTTTTTTTCATTTAATATTTTCACTTTCTATTACCCCTTATATACCGCTGTAGTGTGTTAATCTTTGTATCATATCATCACTATTTTTACTTTTTTTTTAAAGATTACTTTGCATTTAACTTCGCAATTCTATTTTCGATTTTTCAAATCCTTTAACGCTATATGCAAAGCCTTACTTTCGCAATTTCATATCTCAATGATATATTCTTTTATAATCAAACTAAAAATCACGATCTAAAAACAGGGCAATCTTCAATAACCTCTTAAACAACCACGTTAAAGGTTACTTCTTAAGAATTACTAACATTCCTTTTCCGCAGGAACTTTTAACTCCTTCGCAGGCTAGACTTGACCTACTTTGATTTCGTAATTAACAATCTTGACACATCGTCCCCCAGATTTACCTTCTCCCAACTTCTGGCTTGGATACGTGCAAATTGTATTTTTTTTTATTCCAGGGCACTCTCATGCCACACGCTGGCACATTTTTTTTTTTATTTTTTATTTTACTCTTTTTCTCGCTAAGCCCCTGACGACTCTAATTAAAACTTTGATTTCTGGTCACTGATCTTCGCCCTCATTTATCCTGCATGCGTACGTCTTAACGACTAATTACTAAAACCCATAACAATCCCCTTATCTTACTTTTCGATTGTGGTACTGTAACTTTATTCGGTCCTTAAATTTACATGTGAAACATGGCCTAGGTTTTCCGCGCCGTGCACATTAAATGGTTTGGGACTTGAGTCAAAGTGACCTTGCCTCAACCAAGTAATAACTAACCCCTCAACCCTTTCTAACGCCCATCACGAAAAGATCATGATTTACCCATCCAATCATTTATATTTTTACCTATAATCATTATATGTTCCCTATTAAATATTTTATTCATATTTTTATTTTTACTTGTATGTTTAATATTAGTTGTTTATGTTTTATTATCTCTTATGGATATACAGAAATCAACCCCATGTTATATACCAACTCACTTTAATTAATTTTTAAAAAATTACTTCCTTAATAACAGTCTTCCTATTCCGCTCTCTTAAATCCCTCCATATGAACCCTCTCACATCCGGGGCCATCTGTGATGATTTAAGACCATGGAATTGTTGTAAATAGTCTAAATATCCACTACCACATGTTCCACCCCATGACTGTATATAACTTCTTATGTACTGCACATAGAAAACCTCAACTAACATCAATCTGTACCGCGTAAGAATCTAATAAAGTATTGCAACTGTACAAATAGAAGGAATGGAGAGAGACAGGAGAAAGTTAAGGTTAAAACAAATCAGGTTTAGGACAGAAGTCGAAGCAAGGCCTAGCAAAAGAGGCTTAAAGCCAGCCCAACTATAAATAATTTACAAGTCAATACTTCCTGACAGGACAGGGCGTATCTGATATCGAGGAAACCATAAAATCTAAGAGTGACGCCCAATTTCCGGGCCAAGACAGGACGGATTTTCTATCAAAGAAAGCCGCCAGAAGACATCACCTAAGTAGGTCAACCAATAGCCTACGGCCACGTGAAAAAGTCCCACCAATTAGGAAAGAATCACCTAAATAGGTCAGCCAATCAGAAAGAAGCAAGGTCGTGGTGTTAAACCAAGGACCTAGAATTGGCAGTATTCGCTTGGAACTCAACGGTAACACTTGCTCTAAAATCTCTCTCTCCTCATCCCATTCCTTCTTGACGTCAGACGCTTTTAGTGGAATCTCTGTTTGTTTATTTCACCTTTGGCCCAGCTGTGTCGCCTTCCACCACGACTGCACGGGAGAGTTGACATCGAGGTTCGTCTAGCATCAGGTAACACTGGTCCCAGAGGTCCCAAGATATCACATATATATTGTAGGAATTTGCTAAACAATTGGCCTGATGATGAGCTAATGCTTGAAAACTTGTCATTTTATTGAATAAAGAAACTTTTTGCAATTATTCGATTGATATTCCTAGTACTGATGAGCCTTATCAATCTTTTTTTGTTTCCCCTTCAAGATGATCCATAGTTTTCAACTGGTGGTAAAACATTGCTTGGTTTATTCTCTTTAGTTGGTTCGCCCTTCTCTAGATCTAGTTGGCACCTTTGATGCGAGCTTCAATCAATCATTTAAAGTAGGTTATCATGTCTTAAAACGTGGCCCATCCAATTCAGCGTTTGCTTAGCATTTTCATGAGGGATCTATTCTTTCCTCGAGGATTTAATTGTAACTAGCACATGCTCTATATTCACTATTAAAACATCCCTATAGTCAATTTACAAACATTGGCTAGAAAGAGGATGCAGATTACAGAATTTCATGGAAGCTTATCAAATAGCTTGGTGCTGCAAGATTGAATAAGTTTCTTTAGTCGACAATGTGACAACATTCTGCTCAGCTAGTGGAAAGATACTTTATTTGGTAATGTGGCTATTGACCATTATGTTACAATCAGGGGGCTCGGTGGACGAGTGATCAAAACCTCTACGACCCGGGATTGAATCCCGCGCATTGGGCACTTTTTTCTAATATATATATATATTTAAATGCTCAAATGGCCCCCAATTCTTGTAAAAATCCAACCCCACCAGCGAGTGCAAGTAACTAAACGAGCTCTGGCACACTTTTAAGTGCAAAAATCGAACTGTTCTTCACATTTGTAGACATGTGGTGCATTTACAGTAAAAGTAGTCGCCAACTTTTATCCACCATGATAATCATGGCCTGTACAAAGTTTACTATGGATGATAAAAAAAAAAAAATTACAATCATTAATATTCTAAGGCATTACAAGATTAAAGAGCTAGATGGTGGACTGACCAGGGTAAATATACTGAACGAAAAATAGTAATTTTGAGACAAAACCATCGGTGTGCCGGTTGACATCCAAGTTTGCTCGGGAACGGTATATCTGGCTCAACATCAATCAATCCCCGATGTAAGAGCTGAGTAGAGCGTTCTGCGAAGCTATAAAGGAGGACACTTCTAGGATATGTAAATAATGTTTCCATACACTTACTCCTGGGTAAACAGCTTCTTTAGCATCCCGTAGCTGTAGTTGGGGACTGTTGAAGAGCCTTTTTTGATATAAAGCTCTCTCGTTATATTTGGCATAGTAAAAGTGTTTTTTAAAAGCGGTACAGACAATGACAATTAAACAACTTTATTGACATCTCGTCAATATTTACACTCAAAGGGAGTTATAAGGTAATAATAATGGTAGGAATGAAGAGAGATATTTACAATCGACGTAGCCCTCTCCGAGGGCACGTCCAGATCAGGAGCTTAAAGCCGCCTTGAATCTAGACAGATCCCTGCCATTTGGGGAGTTCATGTTCGGAACAGGCCATTATAATCATGGTGGGTAGTAGTTGGCGACTGCTTTACTGCAAGTATACCACATGTCTACACATGTAGAAAGAATTTTGACTTTTTAACTTATAAGTGTGTCTTATTCCCACGTTTGATTACTTGGACTCACTGGTGGGGTTGAACTTTTGCAAGAATCAGGGATCATTGTGGCAATATTTTTAATTAGGAAAAAAAAAAGGCCCAATGCGGGATTCAATCCCAGATCGTTTTTTTTAAACTTATCCTTTTATTAGTCTAAATTAGACAAGATCTTGGAGGTCGTGCTCATAAAGAAGTTCAAGAACTCTTCTTGGTTCTCTGTACAGGGATCCTTTGTCCTTTCCAATACAATCCCAGATCGTAGCTGTAGGTAATCAACAATTTTCTTCACAAAAAAAAAAAGTCCAATGCGGGATTCGAACCAGGATCATGATTACCGAAAATAAGACTGTTTATAACACTGCTCCACCGACTTCTCCATTGTAAACGATACTCATCGCTAATCAACAATGTAATTTACCAATTTTAGAGTCTATTCTTAACATATTTTACGAGTGGCGATCTTATAATAGACCGCCGCTATGACAGAAAGGGTCAATCACTGGCCCGCGCCAGTCGCTGAAGTGGGTCAGCACGGAGAAGAAGAAGAAGAAAAGAGGGGCGGGGTGAAGACGTGCTGAATACTGATTGGTGGAGAAATTCTACCTCCAGGGCAGGCAGGCAGACTTGATGGTGAAATCACAAAACTTGACGGTGTTATGCAAACTGCCGCAGCAAGTTAGTGATAACGAGGGGAACGTTTTTATGTCTTAAAAAAGTTCTTGGGACAATAAAAGAGGAATTGCCATCGCTGATTTCGGGATTTATTAAATTCATTTATGTACCAAAAGTGGAACTTTTGATATTAAATATGCATTAAAACAATGCATCTGGTTCAATAATCCAGTACAAAGGTAGTGATGAAGAATGAGTCATACGAATTCTGGAAAATTTGGACAAAAAGCCAACCACCTGAATACCTTGGTTTCAGGCTATGGTCCTTATATTGGTACCATTTCATAACATGCTAAGAGAAGGATGTTATCAAATCGGTCGAATTTACCCGATCATTCATATAAATAAACATTAAAATTCATATAAGTATAAATATTTATATATATATGTCATAATTTGTATAGTTAATGCCAAAAGATATAATTTATTTCCGTCGAACTAAGTATGTAAATATGTTACCATTGTGTTAAAATGTAAATATGTAAATTCCTCCATGTATAAAAGCGGGACAAAAAATAAAGGTGGCAGACATCGCGGGTGCGCTGTTCCCTAGGCATAACGACTGCGCCTCGTCATTTAGCTACGACATATATACACACACACACATGAATTAACATACATTACTGAAGGCCCTAGTGGACATGGCATCTGCCCGGTAAGCGGAACACTGTGGGTTCGATTCCCATCCCTGGACACTTTTATTTTTCCGTTTATCATTACTCTTCACAATTCATCCTTTCAATACCTCAACTCTTAAGGTTAGAAATAATCGTTGTTTCTCCTTAAAAATAAATATCGATTTTTCGTTTAAAAGAAACACACGCGGGACAATTTTCAAATATCGTTTTACAATTACTGTACGTGTGCGAATTTTCGAGTAAATTATCAAAGAGGGGGGAAAGGGTAAAAACACACCGTGTCGACAGCTACAACTCGGGATTGAATCCTGCACTGAGCAAAGTGGGGGTTGGACTTGTGAAAGAATCGGGGGGCATTGGAACATGTTTTATTCAGAAAAAAAAAAGTCAATTCGGGATTCGATCCCGCGTTGTTTCTGTCTAGAATCAATGGTTTATACCACACACACGTCGACAGACCTCCTGGAAGCATTAATCCAATGAACTAATTAATCCCATGACTCAAACAAGTTATGGCGAAAGCATCAGGCGTCTGAGATGAAATAACAACCTCGGACGTCTAATGTTCTCTTTAAGAAACATTATGGACAAAAAAAATTGTAAATATATATAAATGTGCAAAGAATGTACCTCCCCCACTTATTCAGGGCATTATTGGATGCCTTTCTTTGGGTTTCCCGGAATGAAGAGATTCACATGATCTCCGGATAAGAAACACGTTTTGTAAAATTCAAACAAAGGCTAACAACCTATATACCATGGTTTCTGGCTATAGCCCCCATCAGTATAAGAAAACAGGTAATCTTTTATGTTGTTGAATGTATGTTGAATTTGGCCAAATCTGGTCTTCTCCGCTGTTCATAACTTATCCGTTCTACGCAGAGAAGATCTCAAAGGAATATATTGTTGAAATGCTTTGATGAAGAGGGGGAGGTGACTTTTTACACCCCATTCTCCTCTCACTTTTAGACTAAATAAAAGAATTGTGCGTTTCCAGCAGAGTTGAGCCATCTGAAGTTGGCACGTGTAGGTACGTACACAAACCACAAGTATGTGGAAATCATTCGACGGTTGCGCTTATATTAGTTACCAGTTTGTCCCTGAGGTTGGTTTTGTGCAAGAATCAAGGGCCGTTGAAGCCATTTATCTATCCACACACCTTATCTGTAGGAATTTAAAATAGTTATGGAGGAGAGAATATATGCGTTTGACCAGTATTTATTTATTTTATTCATAGGAAATTATTCGGTTCAAAATCACTTTATTAGGTACCGCTCAACAAGAGCAACCTAGTTTATGATAATTGAAACGGTGAATAATATGTGAAGGTTATTCACATATTAAACAAAATGTTAACGCGGAATTTAATCCCGGTTCATGACTGTCGGGAATCGAGGGTGTTACCCACTCGTCCACCGACTTGTTTAGGAAATTATAGATTTAACTTTACCTTTGATTTCTCAGAAAGCCTCAAGGACTAAATATTTGGTCGTAGAGGTACAGTCTGCAACTTGTCGACAAGGGCCAACAGCACGAAACACGCACATGGTTGAATTGTCTTGATTTATCAAGAAATTGGGTTGGACAAATATCTTTGGAATAAGCTAAATTAACGTTTAGTTGATTTCTGTTCCACTAGATGGCGCTCTGCCATCTAAAATGCTCATGTGCGCGGTCAGGAAATGCCTATTTTGTTTTATATATATACAATTTCGGTTAACATTAATGTCAAATCAAAAAGAGAAAGTACAAAGATATTTCAGCCTACTATCGCAAAGTCTGAGAAAAAAAAGTCGCAAAAAGCAAGCTCGTTTAAAAAGGGTATAACACAAAACAATGTTGTCGTTATTTGACTATGGTATTAACGGTAAATAGGGGTTTAAAACTGTTTCTACTCTAACTACAACCTATGGATCTACATTTGGAGACAAATAACATAATTTTATTGACATCCCGTCAAAATATAGGCAAAAGTGCACAGTTCGCACTATTTAAGTAGAGATGAAAATTAACAATGATGATGATTATTATAAAAAAAAAATACAATAAAATATATGCTATGTACAATGAATATGTACATGGCACCACCGCTGCAGAGTTTGATGGAAGATCGCCAATGGTCTCCAGCGATACCATGTATTTCGCGAGAGAAACTTGGAGAGAAAGCAGCTCGGCTTTTTCACTTACAAGGCGGTCCCCGTTTGGTTACTTGCAATCACTAGTGAACATATACTTGTACAATAACCATTGAAGCAATGTAATATTTTTTTAAAGGTTTCATTAGAGGGGGGGGGGGGGGGGGGGGGGGGTATCGAACACTATTTATCCTAGTTGCCGAAAAAAAACCGACCGTTTATAACTAAACTCTCTTCCACACTTTCTCGTGGATATCATTGAGAACCAACCTTTGTCAAGCTAATGATTCGAAAAAAAAAAAAAAGACATTAAGAACAATGAGGTCAATTTACAAAATGACTTTATGTTATTTACAATAAATAATATGTACAGGTTCTTCATATATTAAAACAAAGTGAACAATGTGGGATTCGATCCTGGTTCATGGCTGTCGGAGATCAATGGTTTATACCTCCTTTTTTTTTTTTTGTTTCAAACAATGAAGCCTGGTTCAAAATCACATTAATAGGTACCGCTCAGCAAGAGCAACCTAGTTTATGATAATTGAAACAATGAATAATATGTGAAGGTTATTCACATATTAAACAAAATTTTAACGCGGGATTCAATCCCGGTTCATGACTGTCGGGAATCGAGGGTGTTACCCTCTCATCCACCGACTATATGTAACAATGAAGCTATAATTGATGATATACTGTGTGAAAAATAGTACAAAAGTGATATTGTACTTGGATCTGGTGGATAGATTAAGGGGGGGAAAGGCATTTCCTGATGGTGTAACTAAAAGTTGATGATGACTTACGCCATCAGAATAAAGATCAACTAATCTTTTTATTTAGTTTTATTCCGCAAGCCTTCAGTAACACGATAAGTAGATGCCTTTTTCTTTCTTAATTCTTATAAACATCGGAAGATAAGGGATGCCTGAAGAAAAATTCATTGTTAAAGAGATGGTTGAAGTGAAGGAAGAAGTTCCAGAAGAAGGCGGACTGACCAAATTAGACCGGACTGACCCTGGAAGATACAAGGCAGAACAAGATGGGAGAAAATTCATTAACGAGGTCACGAACTACCAGTAATGGGGGGGAACGAATAAGCTAGTTGGGAGATAGGTAGGAAGTTGTGATTGCTTCTGTGTGTGACATACTTTCTATCAAATAAACAAAACTTCCTATTATACATTCTCGGAAAACACTGGAAGAAACAGTCAAAAACAACAACAAAAGTATTCGCACATGAAAATAATAAACATATTTTATTTGTAGGCTATATTTTTGTTTTTAAAATATAAATATTTCCACGTGAAAATTAGAAAAGACAAACTTTTATTTATTTATTTCATCTCCATTTGCAGGTGTTACATTCGAGCACAGCTCGCGAGTCACCTTGTCCAGATTATTTACACATGGCGAGTTGTTGGTTGGGATGGCCCCCCGAACCTTACAGGAGGGCAAGTTGTTGGGTGTTTGGCTGTCAGCTAGCCATTGGGTCCAGGTCGTCGGATTCGGTGGCTGAGGTCACCTTGATTTTGAACAATTTCTTGTATAGTTGGATTTGATGATTTTTGAAATTGCGAGAATAGTCTTGTCGCAGAGTCTTGATAAATCTCTTCTATATTAGGCTGGTTGAGATATTTGAGAATTTTGTTTGAAAGATTGAATGGGGCTCCTATAGTGGTTCGGGATGACACAGAAATTTAAGTCAAGAACAAACTATGAATGATAAACAAAAGATAAGCAATGAGAGAAGTTTACAGAGTAGCAAAATAAACATAAAAAAATGATACTCTGTTAATAAAATAATAAATACTTTGCTACAATATAAATAAAATTATGTCTATAGCCCTTATCCTACGATGATCAAAAATTGAAAAAGGGAGGATATGAGCCAAGACCTCCTAATTATTTGTAATCGCAGTAAGGCCAGTAGAAGTTTGTTTTAAGTGTGAAAGAAAAATTCGTGCTTCAATGCTTTCATTTCTTAAGAGAAATTTGTTTTAATTTTTATTTTACTTGACATCAACAACCTAGATAAGTCTAGAGTTCACCTGTGAATTATAATCCAAGCCTCTGAACACGTCCCTCCAAGAAGAGCTAAAAGTAGAGGCGTGAAGCGACACAATGTCAAGGAAGCGCTACAAGATGGAGAAAGTAGAAGAATGAAAGAAAACACTATCTAGGACGGAAGATTGACCGGGGCTGCTTGCTGGGAAGGGGGTCAGTAACTGGCCATCGCAGTTTCGGCCTTATTTCCAAAATTAGAAACTTTTTTTAATCTTCACGCCCATGTAATGTGGTTTAAAAAGTTGTACTTCCCTCAATTTATCGCTGTTCACAACTCCGCTATCCTGACACCTTTTTTATTTAGTAGCAATGTACCAAATTCACTGGAGTCTGGTGTCATGGAGGTACAGACCGTTGATTTTTCGAAAACCTGGACGTGGAATTGATTAATTCTCACATCGCCTGAGCACCTTTATTTTCTTTTTAAAATAGCATTAGCAGAAGTCAAGTTCAAGATCACTTTATTAGGTATCACTCAACAAGAGCAACCTAGTTTATGATAATTGAAACAGTGAATAATATGTGAAGGTTATTCATATATTAAACAAAATGTTAACGCGGGATTCAATCCCGGTTCATGACTGTCGGGAATCGAGGGTGTTACCTACTCCTCCACCGACTTGTATTTTAGAAGTCAAGTATACCCAACCGGTGCTTTGGCACCTTTAAGTGCAAAGTTGAATTGTTTCTTCTATAAGCGTAGACATGTGGTGTACTTACAGTACAAGCAGTCGCAAAACCCTGCCCATCCTGATTTTCGTGGCCTGTCTGTACCAGGTGTATAAAGATTTTTTTCCAATACTTCTACTGTATGGAAATTATTTACACATTGGTCTCACCATTTCCGCCACTACTGCC